ATCTTTGCATCTTCTTTGTAAACTTCTTGTAATATATTGAATTAAGTACCTACCTACGGATTGGCAAAGAATTTCCTTAATAAATGTAGTACTCGTTGTAGGCAGGACGCTGTAGTCTGTTACAACTCGTAATGCGTAATATGAAATTTATATAGTATCTAATAACAAAAAATATCGAAACAAACGATTGTATTAGTTAAATATACATAAAAATAATTGCATTTATCAGATTTCGAAAATGTATATAATATAGTCAATTATAATATTATGTTTGTATTGTGCTTCAATCTGGCATTGATAATACTTTTACGATTGTAATACAACTGTTGTGAAGTTTATTAAAAATGTCCATATATTTTAGTCTATGTATAGCAAAGATTACGAAAACTGCATTTTTAATTAGGAATATAATTGAGTATTTGAGTATAAAAATATGTTGTATAAGCAAAATTAAAATGATAACCAGTATTAAATAACAGAATAGTTGATTTATTCATTAGTATATGATGTATTATATTGTATATTAAACTTTTATTTTTATTTGGTTGAATGATTTTTTAAGATAATTAAATAATGTTGCAGAGGAATAAGAGTCAATATTTATGATGTATTTTCACTGTTTAATAGCATATCCTTTAATATTCAAAATGCCGGTAGTTTTTGGCAGGTGACTTTAGAGGTTACGATGTAATAATAATTATAATCACCTAACAACCCTTAACTTCTTGTGAGGATCGTCTAACATAGTGTGAGCATTAATCAATTGTGGTTTCCGGCTAATTAACGCTGGCCAGCCGTTGTAAACGGTTCGTTTAGAGGAATCGTAGTTTGTAAACTTTTCCTGCTTCGTGACTGGGTTGTACAAAGTGGTTGAAAATTTGCAGTCAGCTTAAACGAATTACCTACTAATATGTTCCAAAATATCTAATATTTTGAACTAATGAAGTTGTTCAACAAGGTCACTCTGGGAATATTCTAGAATGATTGTCACTCGAAAATGTCTAATGAACAAACGTACCAAGAATGTTATAAATATTCCAATACGATGTAGACAGTAAAGAATTAAACTTTCTTCCCCATCATCAATTAAACAGATAAAAACGAAAAGTAATCTGTGTTGAATTTAATAATTGTAATAATATTGAACTATAATAGTATAAGATCATATCAAAACATTTTTGTTGTGATATTAAATTTAAAACAAATTATATTGTGGAATCAAATCAAAAACATTATTTTGAAATTAAATACTCGATGAATTTCAGTGAACTTGTTCATTCATATAGTTTCAACCTGATTAACAGTGAGCATTATTTGTTGTTATGTAGACACACTTATAGAATAATTTATCTGGAATAAGAATGTCTTTTATTTTGAAAATTTAGTTATCTGTGAATACAAAGTAATTACTATTTATTTATATAATACATTTCACTACATGTCTAAAGTTATACATATTGATTGTCGTGCCATTATCCAAAACATGATAATTTGATGCGTGTGTTTTTAATTCATTTTTTTTTTTGTGAACAGAGGAACTAACTATTATTCCTTACACCGTTATTTTTTGTTTCTTTAAAATAAGATGCGGAAACTATGGCCATTGACTGTCACCGAAATAACTAAAATTTCTATTATCTAAAAGATTACATTTCATTATTGCATTTATCATTCTGAAATTCTTTAATTTCGTTCTCATAAAAATATAACTTTGTATTTAAGATAATATTATGTAATATCTTTTGGAGGTTGTCATTATTAGTTTTGAGTTAATAGATAGCTAGGTACTACTTGTTTGTTATATCACTTCTTAGCTTAGCCGTGTACAATGTATCACCCCTCCTTCACTCGATCTTACGTCTGTAGTCTATAAACTAAAAACCGATATTTCTCTGTACCTCTAAATTCTAATCTGTACCTACCATCTTAAGTGTAGGTTTGTCATGTATTTGAAATTATATTTTATCATATTATTATGATCATGTTAATAAGTTTTCGGTACATCACTATATTGTATGTGTAATTTTAAATGCTTATCTCTATCTCACGGTTTTACTTAACTTATTTTAAAATATTGATTTATTATCTGCAGTTTTTAATACTGAAATTCAATTTTTACAAAAAAAAAAACACAAAGTTAAAACAAATAAATTCTGCCACATTGAAGGTCCTTTATATAGGGATCATATATTTTGTGTTTATTTACTTATAATTATGAATCACTAATAATTATAATTATATTAAATAACTATGATATTCATAATTCACTGTAAACAATGCATTTATTTATAACTTTATTTTATTTTATAGTTTTGTAACGGTATGTAAAAAATATCGAAATACTTTTATTTGACTGGCAGCTACCTGGGTTGGTAACGAATTTTTTACGGTTTGGTGGCGGACGGTATCAAACAAATACCAATTTTATTATTATAGTTAAACAAATTAAATTTTTCATATTAAATAAGACCTATGATTTGAATTTTTTTGTAAATGTATATGTACAAATTTAGAATTTATCACATATACCTAGTAGTGTACAGTAAATACTATTTCTTAGTGAACTTTTTTGAAACTTATATACTAACTTCAAGTACAGGTCAGACAACTGAAGGTGTACAAAATATGTTTTTTCGAGAGGACATGACTTTAGTTAACAAATACCCCTAGGTCAAAAATCACTATAGAGGACCATTGTAATTGCTTTTTGTGTGAAACAGGGCAAATACTCGCGGGTCGATCAATAAAGCGTGAACAATGCTCTGTCCGTTCCCCAACATAATGGTATAAAAGCAAATTGGTCGATTTAGGGTGGTGCACCAATCAGGAAATCATAGTTTTTCAATAGATTTTTTTACCGAAGATAGGGTTCAAATAGAAAATGTAATTCTTATTAAAATGTTCTTATTCATGCTAGATAAATATATAAAATATTATTGATCTAGAATAAAATCGTTATTAAATAAAAATAGAGAAAAAGAAGGTAACCTCTCTGCTGTACAGGAGTTATCGAATATATACCTATTGTCATTGAAAAAGAAACTAAAAATTATCATAACACATATGTTAAATTTGAATTCAATGATAAATCATGGCATTCAAAAGATGACTCTGAGCGAAGAATGTCCATCAGCCTTTATTACCAAGTATATTTGAGTAAGCGTAAGTACTAGAAATTTGTACTTTTATCCATAGTAGATCCAATTTTTTACCAGAAACCACCAGCCTCAAAGTTTAAGACCCAAGCATTTTTAGCGCTTCAAAGTGTCACATCAGACACATACAAAACAAAACCGCACACATCATAGTAAAAACAATACGCATTAGTCGTTTCTCTTAGAATCTAAAAGTTGATTTTAGTTTGGTACCTAACCTTTTTAAACATTAATCGTTGTTAAATCATTTTTCAAGATCAATTTTATTGCTTGAATTTTATCGTACATTATAATATATCGTTATTCTATAACTGAAAAAGACATGAACTCCTCGCAATACATTCCAAATATCCTCGTGAATGTGATTATGTTTGGGTTTTCTCGTTATGCCCAGTTGGGGTGGTATTCCCGTTGTTTTTTCGTTTTCGTTTAATGAGCGATTTGTAAATATTTGTACAATGCGGTATTGGTCTCCCGAGCCTTTGTTTATTCGGAAAACGAATTATGTCGGAGCATAATGTTATATTTGATCCGTAACTGTGGGTTTATTTTTCTCGGATTCACCTTGCCTAATCTTTCGCGATTTATACAAAGAAGTCTAAGCGTGATGAAATTAAAAATCAGATAGGCGTTCAGTATGCCTGTAAAGCGGGCGATATAGATCGGGCATCATGGTATAGTTTTCTAATAGAGTCTGCAGTTGTATAATTATCATGCATAATAAACAATATGTTGCATATATTGCATTAAAAACGGTTTTTTTATGGGGATGTGGCTTAGGCTTTTAGGGCATAAATATGTTTGCTTGACCAACTAATTTTAAAACCTAAATAAACTCAATAATATTGTAAGAAAAAATATCGGGGGTGGTTTGAACCCAAAATCGCGTCCCCATGGTTGGCTTCGGGTTTGATTGTTTTATTGTAGTCGTATCGATAGCTATCTTGCGCACCATGCACAATAATACAATGACGAGTGTTTTCCAAACGTCTATTTTAATATTTCTCAATTATACTGCTGCAGCCCTATGCATGCTCCTGAAATCGACTCCGGTCGGCTACACCGTTTTTCGTTGGCACACTTCAGTAGTTGCAGCGAAGAAGACCGCAGTAACATTATATAAGTAAGTACTTTGTCGTTGACGGTTGTAGTGTGCGGCTCATTAAACTTCGAACTTTTTTTTTTTAAATACTTTTAATATTATGATACGGTGCGTTCACCGAAATCTGCTTGCGGGATGTGGTGGAGAGTGGTATGAATATACGTGCGTGTACATATTATTAGCCGTCCCCATTGGTGTATACTTAGTTATACCTATATATATGTGTGTGTGTGTGTGTGTGTGTGTGTGTGTGTATTTGTGTACAAATACTGCAGAGTGCACGCATACAATAGGGGTTCGGATTACATCGTTTAGCATGCTCCCTTTTATGTTAGAATTTTTAATTGAAAGAGCATTGACGACTGTTTCCTCTCTCACTCGCCCCCTCTGCCGTCCGACTACCCTCTCGGAACGTCATATTATACTCTCTCTCTCTCCCTCTCCTCTCTCCATTTGCATCGCACACACACACACACACACACACACACACACACACACACACACACACACACACACACACACACACACACACACTAACAGGCGCACATACATCGTGTACGTATTCTAAACGCAAAAATATAATAATATTCGAGGGGTGGGTCGTCCACACGTATGTGATCCCTCTACAATGCACGCGCGTATAACGACGCAACTCGCGCGCGCCGCGTGCCCGCAACAGCCGTGGCGCGCTCGTAGAGGGATCGCCGTCGTCGCCACCACCGCCGGCACCACCGTTACGGCACGACCGCGCGCGTTAGTAACGTTTCGGTATCGCTACCGCGCGCAACCCGACGCCGACGCCGCCACCGCCGCCGCCGCCGCCGCCGACGACGACAACGACGTCGTCATTTTACCGAGGACACCACAGACGCTCGCTGTCTCCGGGACTCGCGATATCGTCACGGCGTATTTCACGCCCGAGCACGAGAGCAGTCGTACTTTTAATAACACGTCGTTGCTATCGATATTCAAATATTTTTTATCATCATCGCCGTTGATACCATATTTTTTTTCGCATCGGTTCCGTTTGCGGTGCAGTTCTTTCGGGGGCTGCGTCCCCGAGGCAGACGACTTCGCGCGCGTGTCCGCCGCGGGTACATTTCACACCACCCGTTTAGAATAACAACGATATTATTTTGGTTTCCATGTGCGTCAGTGCGATTTTTCGCGATGGATTTGAGTAGACCGCCGATCCGGTAACTCGTCGTATACCGGAAATCTGCGTTTTCCCTGTAAGTGTAGTAGCTGCATATTATAATATATATTTATATATATATATATTATTGTGTATATATTGGACGACGCGTGTCGTGTCAAAAATCTGTACAAGTCCTACTGGGCTAAAATTGTATTTTAAAAACTAACGTCTGCCGATCAACTACGAATCTATGTTTTTAAATGCTATCATTAGCTGTGTGAAAATTGAAACACACAAAAACCTATATAATACTGTTATTAAACACCTTGTCGACGACCAATAAGTACCTCCTAAGTATACAGGATATTATACTTTATTTAAAAAATAGTACTTAATAATTATATTATGTGATATAAATTGAAAGTGTAGCCAATCAATTATCATTGTTCATTGTTATTATTATGATTTTTTTTTTGTGATGGTCGACTGGTATCAAATTTGGATTAAAAATTTTTTTTTGTATTTAAAAAAGTTCTTAAAAGTTAATTTTGAATAAAGAAAATGTGTTTAGAATTTTATGCTCCTGTGTCCTATACATCATAACTTGATACAACGTACATTTTATTCACTCTAATTAAGTTAAACAAATAAACACCTGTTTTATTTTAAAAAAATGAGATTATCTATTTATGTCATCTATTATAACAATATTTGGTTTTTAATCTTATACGAAGAACAACTGAAATATGTACAACTAAGTTTAGTTATTGCTTTGGGAATTGTTAGTTTGGGAATTTGAGTTTCGAACAAAGGGATCTAATGAACGTACCTAGTATGCGTAAAATAATATGTGGCTAATAGACTTAAGTTTATTGGCGGAATATTATATTTGAAATGGTTTTAACTTTTAACTTATGAAGTCAATGATAAAATGTATTAATTTTAAATACAATTTAGTACTTATATAATATAATAATATATGCAGTGGATCATTTAAGTTAGGCACTTGCCAATTCACCGTCTTATTCACCCCATCTCTTGTCAAACTTATATTAATAAAAATATACCTACATATTTCATAAGATCTGCTATTATCTGTAATAATTAAAAATAATTAATACTAATATTTATTAAGTTGTACATTATATACAGTAATCCGTTTCAGTAACTATAGATGCTAGTTTCTGATAAATAATAAAAAAATATATTTTATATTTTTAATAAATTTAGAAATTAATTAAAAATTAAAACTTGTTTTTTCTAATTTTTCATCAGCGTGAATTAAATTCCCACGGTTTAAATTCAAGAAAAAGAACGTTGAGTAGGTAGTAAAGTAAGAATTTTGTGTACAAATATGTGTTCGAAGTCCCCTATCTATATCAGGATATAAGTCCGTAAGATTATCTTATATTATTAATATACATTATTTATGAGGAGAAAGGCATTTAGTTTCTTTGTTTTAGAATTGTAAATATGATTTAAAATGTATATTTAGGTGCATAGATAATAGATGCATTCTGTTGAAAATGTTTATTCGGTAATAGCCAAAGTCCCCCCCCCCCCAAGATGTGACAGCTCTAGGACTGTGCCTAAATACTCCGTTGATAATATAAACATGTTTTATTAAGTTTCCAATAACATATATATAGTTAGTTATTTGCATTTTATCAATAAATTAGAATGTAATGTATACTATAAGCATTGACAAAACAGATGTAATTTGAAGAAAAAAATTAATTGGTCAATGTACAATATTATTCTTCAACACAGAGGCGCATAACGATTATTTAACTACTCTATTAATCTCAATTTATTTAGAAATTTGTAATACTTTGTGTATTATATAGCAGTCACAAAATATATTAAAAAACTTTTTGAAATAAAAACAAAACAAGACTGAAATGAATATTTGTGGTAGAATTAGAGTAACTACAAATCTAATTTAAAACTAAAATAACACTCTAGATCCATAAACAGTAATTTAAAATAAATTAATACTTAGACTATTATACGTTGCATCGTCTAATACATAGGTGACGAAATTGTTTTTGTTCGGATTTATTTAAGTATTCAATTAATAAATAAGATTTTTGGTAAGTATTTAACTATATGTCTTGTATAATAGATTATAAATTATAATATTGATTTTTTTTTTGTATTTCCAGACTTCCGGGATAAACTTATCATTTTATAAAACACTTAATACAGTATTTTACTATAGTATACGTAATGATTACGAGACCACTGAAGGGTGTTGGGGCTGGTGCGTTTTTTAGTACAAAAACATGTCTTACAGGAAAAACTCTCATGGCCCTGTAAAATAGTCTGATTTAGTTAATTTTTTTTTTTTGTATTTAAAAGAAAAGAACATTTTACAGGCCAGTTCAAAGCCAAATTTTCAAAATTATAACTTTAGAAGCTAAAAAATGCATTTGAATAATGCACAATATTTGTTCTTTTTCAAACGTATTTTTCTAGCGATATTTAAAGTAAAATAAAAATTCGGGCTTTGATCCGACTTGAAAAATGTTTTCTTCTTTTAAATAAAACAAAAATTAACAAAATCTTACTATTCTGTGGAGAGTTTTTCCTGTGAAGTCATTTTCGTTGATATAATACACAATATCAACCCCATTCCCCTCAATAGGTATAATACAGTAGATTAGTGGAAAATTATTATAATTAAGGTAGTAATTAAAATAAAAAATTAAATGTTCAAATTTTATAGAATTGCAGAAATCTGGAAAAACCGGCACTGGCACCCTTTAAAAGTAAATAATTATAAATTGTTATTTTGTGAATGAATAAATAATATTACCTATTATATACGTGCATTTAATTTTCGGATTAAACATGATACAAATAAAAATATTTTAGTTGGGCTTGGGCTTTAGACTTTTTATTCATTATATTATTATAGAATAACTAATAACTAACACCGTGTTATAGAATTATAGGACACAGGTATATTACGTTGTTAAGCATTGGTGTGATGGATCATTCATTTTTATGGAGAACTTTTTTTTTTATATCATTGTTTTCAAAAATTAATTTATGTATTCATGAAGAGTGCTACGCCTTAGGTATTTTAGCTAATTTTTTTATCAATTAATTTTGAAGCTTTTCTAGAATCATGCGCCTGGTAAACGTTAAATGTTTTTAAGTTTATTTCAAGTGTTTGTTGTGTACACTCATGGTAAACCTTTTGTTTTTGAGAATTTTGCAAATTGCAAGACATGTTTAGTTAAACAGCATCGGACAATATTTGTATGAAATATTTATGCAATATATGCAATTTCGATGTTATTAAGGCTGGACGCTGATATAAATGGTCGTATTAAATATCGATTTATATATTATATAGCTCTACGTAGGTCGGCAATAAATGGTTATTTGTAAATTTGACTTTATATGAAAAACTGTTATAAATTATTTGGTTTTGCTTTCTTTTTCACATAATATTATTTTAAGCGAATCGTTTGGGAAATTGTTTACATTGGGGTGGTCTACATACCTACCCTCTTTGTCAACCCTCCGGCCAGTATATAGCACAGTATATCGTCCCCTTTAACGGATTATAGTTGTCATTTTACGGAGGCAAAATCATGACAGAAAAGCGGCTGCAGTGAGGAGTAGGGTACTACAGAGAGGCAGACAGAGAGAGAGAGAGGGGAAGAGAAAGAGAGACATGGATCGAAAGTTTGGTAAACGGAGAAAGAGTATTTATGCCTAAGCTCAACCGCCCAAATATAATAATATACGCTTTGGTTAATGTCGATGGTGGTAGTGTAAGGCGGTGGTGCATTGCTATTTAAATTCACGTTATCTCTGCGTCGCACGACTACGTTATAGAAATTAGCTTCGGTGGTATAAAACGTATTTAGGATTTTTCATCTTATTATTTGACATCGATAAAGATAAATATCAAAACTGAGTCATATTATTAAAATTAATAAAACACATTCACACTTATTATGTATACAGAGCGATCCATTTAACGCAAGGCACTTTTTATTTCTGGAAACCCCAATGTTTTTGATAATACTTCTTTTACATAATTTCAAGTCGTTATGAAACAAGATTATTTTTTACTATTCTTCATCGTTTTCATTTTTGTAAGTTTTTCACTTTTTTGAATGACAACATAAATGTTTAATATAATATTCCGAAGCAGAATATTATTCAGAGTATTTTGGTCTATAAAAAACTATAAAACGTTCCAGGCATTTCAATCTATCTGGTTGCGACATATAACATCCTCTTCTTGGTATATCACCAACAAAAATCTTCATAAAGACCTAAAAATGCCAACCCTCGATCAATTCTCCAAATTATATAACTCTAAATTGTATACTAATTCAAATTCTTATATTAATCCACTAATTGAAAATTCTCTTCTATCTTGCGAGTAATGTACATAGGAGACTAAACAAATATCGACCAAAAGACCTACTAAGAATAAAAAGGAAATTCAAAACAGTAATAATTAAAAAGTACCAGTTTAGGTGGCATGGCTGATTATTTGCTCTGTATGTCATTAAGCTTAAATAGTATATAAGCTGTAAAACTATTTTGATTGTAAATAAATTTTAAATCATCAAAATTAAACATAAATATACATCGAATTTATACAAAAAAAAAAAATTCGGAATAGGTATAAAAAATATGAAATTCATGTTGTCATTAAAAAAAGTGAAAATGTAAAATGATAACGATAATAAAAAACTATTTTTCTTTCAGAAAACTGAAATTAGACAGACTGAACAGACTTAAAATTATTTTCAAAAACGTTACTAGTTTTTGGAATAACGATAATGCATCCACCACGTTAAACATCATCTGGTATAATAATAATAATATAATAGGTAGTCGGGCTAATATCGAAGGGGTATCAAAACCCCCCCACAACCCCTTTATCCGCGTAAATGCGCCACTGACAGTGCAGCGCGCAGCGTAGCGTAGTAGGTTGGTAGTTATAGCCCCGCAACGGAGGTAAAGGCTATAACACTTGCCGCGTTTATCCTTTACGTACATTGTATCCCGTTGTACAACGAACGATATACGGCTTCGTGAAAAGGATTTGGGTAGTGGGAGGGGGTGTTGGTGAAGGATAAAACGTTACGGGAATTCTTGACGGGGGTCGGTCGGACCCGATAAAAGTTGATTACTATTCGCTTGCCACTGCCGCGGGCGGCCTTTACTGACGACGACGACGGCGACGACTACGTCTAATAATATCATCGCACCCCCGTCGGCAGCCAGCGAGCTATAACAATAGAATATTATAATAATAATAATAATAATAATAATAATAATAATAATAATAATAATAATATGTGCCCGTCGAATGTATTCGTGGAGGTAGACAACAATATAAGCGCCTCTCTGAACCTAACCTACCACCACCACCCCGGATTGTCGAATACATCGTAATAGGTAACAATCTCATGGTCGTATATAGTCTAATATAGCCGTTCTTAAACTTTTGTTGAACACCGACCCGTGATGGAAGACTTTTAGAAATCACGGACCGCCTACCAATTTTCTTTCGAATATCTGTTTTTTTGCGAAATATCTCATGTTATCATTATCAATATTTTAATACTTATTTCATATAATACAAATCACATACGTATATGTTCATAAAAACATACATATTTATCATTATTTTTAACATAATTTTTTATAAAAATGTAATATTTTATTTTTAGACAGAGGTGCCATGAACCTCGGGCATGAGTGTCATGGACCCCTGGGGGGCCACTGACCACAGTTTAAGGACTGCTGGTCTAATCCATATATTGTAAAGTTAAAATATCATAATATAATATTTTTTCTTTCTTTATTGAGATGGTAACATAAAATTATTATATCTCGATAAACATACTCTAGTTATTATAATATTGTTTGTTTATTTTATAATATTTAAATTTAAATTTGGATAGTATATTAGTATTTTTAAATATTATTAGTTATAGGTCATACTTCCTTACAGAATATGATTAATTATTCGTTTAATATTATTATTTGTATTTTTCCTAAAATAGGGCAACTTTTAAAAATCAAATTTATTTAATTTAGTAAATAAGTAATGAACAAGTCCAAAAAACAACAGAGTAATTTGAACATTTAATATTAATACACTATCACTGTAAATATGTACAAAAAAATTGAAATTAAGGTAGGTATTAATGGTTTATACATATAAATTTCTAGTTAAAAATTTTATATTAAATTAAAAACTACAATTTAATACTTAAGAAAACAATTTAACGGTATAAGATTCTTGCTTACTTTTTATCAACTAACTATTTGATGAAGCAAATTAGCTCAAAACCGTGATTCACTTTTAAATTGAAAATAATAATTATAATGAACTAGTTAAGTATTTACATGTTGAGTTCATATGTACAACATGAGACGAGTGCCCAACTTTTGACATTATGTTTAATCAAAATATACCAGAATAAATATAATATATTTTGAAATGTACTCATACTAATTAACAGTTTTTGTATTGTATTATTTATAAACTAAATAATTATTATTTTTACATACCTTTACATACACTAGAAAACTTTAATGTCATGTGTTTTTATGAATATCATATTTATAGTAGGTATTATTTATAGGCTAAATATATACAGGAAAATGAAATAAATTGATATTCAAGTTCAAAATATTTTTTAATAAATATGATATTTTGCATTATAATCTTTTGTTTCTACACAGTTGAGTAAAATAAATCATGAAAAAATTCTTTTTATATTGTAAAAAATATTTTTAAGCTTTATACCTGTATGACTATATTTGAATTAGAGTATAGACATACAATTAACTAAAGCTAAAACAGTGGGTACGCTTTATAATCAGTACGTACTTATTTATAAAATATTAATTGTTCTTATTTCATGTATACAACTATTAAAATATTATAATGAACAATACAATCACCAATAGTATACTTCATGAGAGAGTTTGTGATAGATAAGTATCTTTTACAAGTAATTGCAAATACTAAGATTGAAACAATATTAAAAATAATATCTTGTAAATATTAATTTTCGTTTTATAATAACTTGTTTTTAGAATTTGCGAGTCATATAATTGGTATTTTAAAGTGTTAGTGTTATTGAGATATATCTATACAACGAACAGACATAAGGTTATTATTTGTTTAGTCCGTCTTTGATATGAATAAGTTATAGAGTAACTGGAGACTCCAGTCTTTCCTTTAGAAACCATTTCAAAGGAACAAAAGGTTTTGCCGAAATCTGATCTTAAACTCTATTTGTCAGTTGCCTTATAATAACGTTATTTGAGAAGATTTCTAACGTCTCTGGTTGTTTTTTATTCAAATTAAGTAATTAGTGAAGGAACGCGGAGAAAATAGAGATACTCATCATTTTAAATAATCCGACCAGATGTCTGATATCCCCTAATTTAATTTTTTTTTACTTTTTGAGAATTTAGGTTTTTACAACAATCCTACATTAGCTGGGCAACTAGATTGTAGTTGAGTAGTACCCCTGAAAGAAATTGAAGAAGTTATGTTATGAAGCTCTTATTTTTAATGTAAAACAGTAAAAATTCAATAGACTAAATAATTTTTCAAAATTGTATTTACTTCCGATTAAATAACTCTACAAATATGAATTTAAAAAAAAAATGTAATTTTCATTGAGTTTATGCATATAAATGCCATTGTAACTTACTTAAATTAAACTTTAAGCTTCAATGTTAATATTTTTTTTTGATCTAAGATTAAATAATAAAATTGATTGGTCTTGTTAATACGATTATTTTCTCTTCAGTAAAAATTGCACTGAATTATACTTATACTCGTACATTATAGTGTCTTATCATGCAGTGTAGTACCTATACCATATTATGTAATTTATATATTTTATGCTGAATATAAAATGGTCACAATTATAATATTTATCTTATTATAATATTATTACTATCATTTAGAATATAATTAAATTTGATTTTAAGAAAAACTTAAAACATAAAATAATATATATAATTCAACAAAAATAGTAGAGTGCTCGAACATCAAAGAACATCTGGTATTTTCCGATTATTCAGCTATTATTTAACACATATAATATAAAACTGTTTTAAATTATAACTATGTATTTTTATACATAATACTGTGATATTGACGACTGTATCTTTTTTTCCAGGTTATTATCGGTAAATTCTTCATCAAGATTTAGCAATGGAAGCAGGTAGTTCGGCTTGCGTGGCTTTGGCATTTTTGGTCAACTACAATACGTTAAAAGCTGGCTTCGTGTATGATGACAGGTAATTTTTCAGTCAGTTTTTTGAGAGTAAATAATTAATTACGTTTAAATATTTGAAACAATGAGTGAAATTTTGAAAAATTTGTAACCATTTTCGGGTAAACAAAAATGGTTGCTTAGAAATTAGAATAGTGTGCGTCAGCAACTGTTAATCATTTACATCAAGTTTAAAATTATAACTTCGACACATTATACATTTCGCTGGTGCTGTTGATTGTTAACTGTCCATGTGTGTGAAGTATGTTCCTCTTTCAAATGAACTATTATTGTTGTTTGCCAATCATTTACATATTTGACTAATAATAATTATTATTTTAATTATTATTGATGTTGGCAAATGTTTTTATACAAAGAATAAGTAAAGAGTATAATACAGAATCTAATAATATAAACATGAACATGAATGACGGTTAAACTACACTATAAACTTAAAACAAACATTGCTTTTCAAAGGAATATATTTTAAATAGGACTATGGAAATAACTGTATGAAGGCATATTACATAAATGTATACAAATTCTATATTACATAAATATGATAGAATTTTCTGGGTTAACGAATATTTGAGAATGATTATTTTAAATTTAAATGAATTAAAGCTTTTTTAAAAAAAAAAAATAAAATAAAGGCAACAAATTTTGAATTTTAAATTCAATAAATTATGACTTAATTAAAGGATTATTAAAAGAGTTCGGTTAAAAGCTCTTTAAGAATACGAAATTAAAAAAATAATTTAACTATTTAAAAATACTTGTAAATTTAAGATCATACAGATGATCTTACCATAGTAAACTATGGTTCATTAACCACTATGAAGTACTATTATTTATTGGTGTACCGGGTTTATCTATATGTGAATATAACATACAACAGTTATAACACGTTTGGAAATATGATTAGTTAATTTTTTTATAAATATGATATTTTAGTAATATTAAAATTTTACTACCCCAACAAAGTCCTTGTTTTGGTTAAATTTTATTCTACATAAAAGCATATAATAACGCTACAAAAATATTTTGGAAATCCGTTATTTGTAATAACATTTTATCCCAATGTTCATTTTATATTCTTTTTGATGCATCTCTACAGTGGGTAGTACGAACAGTGGTGAACTATCTCTGTGTGCTGTCATTGGTCATTTCCGGTAAAGGGAATAATTGTCGAGGACCTAGACACACTACGAAACAATATCGCTATAGTGTCCAATTCGAAATAATAATTACATGTTTCGTTTGATTAGGCAGTCAAAATCTACTACAAAGGCCAAAGAGTCTACAGTTATCCACGATTTTAATACCATTAGGAATTGCGTTTTTTCAATGCACGTTTACTGTTTTTATATAATCAATTAAACATAAAAACTATTGTTTAATGGTGAGCAAAACGTTATCAGGTTATCTATAGATATCGTTCGCTGCTCTCAATTATATCAACCAACCCTCCTCTTCTGAACAGAACGTGAATCTACATGAGTTTGCAGCTCGTAAAAACTATCAGTAGGTATATGAGGTATGCTCTAGTTACAACTTCGATTTTTCTTTCTTAAATAATATTTTTTAATGTTAAAATGGACAATTGTTTACATTTTGCCAGATAATAAGCATTGACATTTATTTTTTTACTCTTAAACAATGTGATCACAGGACTTGTAGTTCTGAGAAGAATGATTTTAATTATACATATTTAAAAGTTAATAATAAGTTTATTTATTTTAAATTGTCAACATTCAACAATAATATTGAAATATGAAAACTTTTAGGTATTTAAATTTTTATGAGATTAAAATTTACCAAGATACTTAAAACAATTAAGTTTAGTAAAAAAAAGTGTATATATTATTTATATTATTTATACGGTACATTGAACTTATTTTTTTCCAAAACAATTCAAATATGTTGTATAGTTCTATGTATTATTATCTTTTATTAAGTTAAGTCAACATTAGAATATCGTAGATAACTGTGTAAATAGGTTTATGCCGTAAATAACTTTAAAATATTCTATTTTATCACCTAAATATTTTGAAAAATTAATTGTTCATATCACTTAAACAATGATTGTAAACTACGATATATTATATTATTATACTTTTAGGTCTCCAAAAATTATATTTTTTTTTAAATACAAAAAAATAGTATAGTCGTTTTTTGTTTAGATATCAAATTTCAAAGAAAATAAAAATTCGATAGAAAAAAAAATTAACATTAACGTTATGTATTTTTATTTGCACTATATCGTAAATTACCTAATATTTTCAAGTCTGAGCTATTACAATTGAAAATATTATAGATATTTGACTGAAAAATAATTTACATGTTATTGTGATTTTGACGTTTATCGTAAAAATTTGAATTTACGCGATTGTATAAAATGTATGTATTTTAGATATTTTATTATTCATTAAAAACAATTTATGAGAAAAAATTTGTACTTAATTCAAGATTTTTTTATTCAAAAACAAAAATTTAACTATGCATGAATAAAAAATAAAATAAAAAAGGCTTACAATATAAATATTATGTATAAATTGAATTAAAAGTACTATAAAACTGTCATATATAAGATACATAAGAATAGATTATTATAAAATTATATTATGTCTAGTAAATGCTAATACTCAATTTAGTGACAATTTGGATTTTTGGAGCCTTTACTGTTATTCGTTTTCAAAATACTTTTGACATCGCCAGTCACCAACTAGATCTAATTTGTTATCAGAAACCACCCTCAAAGTTGAAAATTGGAGCATTTTTAGTTTTTGCTGCTCTTAATGGTGACGTCAGACACACCCAATAAAAAACCACACATGTCATGATAAAAACAATACGCATTCACGCTTCCCTCAGTCTAAAATAATGGTTTTGTGGTTCAATATTATTTGCATTTGATTTTTGAAAAATTGAATTCATCCAATATATAATGTACTATATTTATTTTAAATGTCACATTTATTTATTCCGACATGAAAAGAAGAAGAAGATATTTATTTATGTATTTTTATTGATTATTATAAGTAGATAAGTAATATTATTTCACTGTATATGGACGTACATAATAGAGAAATTCGAGGGAAATATTACACTGATGTTAATAATAATGATACAACGACTGAACGCGAGTAAGAAAAAAAAATTCAAGGAAGATTTCCATTTTAACGAGGCATATCCTTTTCGTTGATGTCGTACAATATAAAAATAGAGGAAGAGAGGAGAAACTAAAAAAAAATAATATCATTTCTACATGATGGCCGAACCCATAATGATATCCCTAACAATAACGTACTTATGGATATGCCAACGCGTGTAAGTTCAACGTCGAATTGATCCATTTCTAACGCTAATAAACATCCAAATAACTTTAATATCTACTTGGAATTTATTTTTGTTGTTGTAGTTTCCCAATTACTTTAATTGTTAAGTTACATTTTTACCAATACAAATTAAAATAGTAAAAATATATTTATCTATACAAGATCTATTTAAAATTATTTATGATATTATATCCGTTATGAATCTAAAGTAGGCACTTTATTTTATAATAATACAATGGTGTTAACTTTTATCAAAACAAAATACATAATAATACGTATTAGAATTTAACCTAAATTCAATTTGGATTAATTTTGAATTATAATACGATACATGTATTACTCGACACGTTGTGATTATTCGATTTTACATATTTTCTACTGTCTACAATGTTGGTTGACATAAGAAGTAAGAACTAAACATAAAAAATAACTACGGTTTATCTGTATTTTGAAGTATTGTATACAAATCTGGTGAAATAAAAATTTTAAATCTATATTGTTAAATATCATTTTTATTGATTTTATAAATTCGTTTGCCCTGTTGTATTGGCTAATAAACACGTTGACTTAATTTATCTTTTGAAGATAATTTTCACTGAACTATTTATGTTTAATTAATATTTTATAAGTTTACTTAAAAAAAAAAATACCAGTTTCAATCATCGTTTCGTATTTGTTTTGTTATATAGAATCTTAGTGCTCATATTAGAGACTAGGTACTGTGAATTAAACCTTTTACATATATGTACTCAATAGTAAAAAAAAAAAACATATGCAATTGAACATTTTTTTCTAAATAGTATTCTCTCAGATATTTTGAACTTGTACAAAACTGTACAGCGTAATGAACTGTATGTACTCTAAACTAATACAAATACTTGTATGCATATATTTATATTATAATATTATAAATATAATTAGATAATTTGGCAAATAGTATTTTCACGGTGTATTAACCAATAATTCGTATAAAGTGTTAGTCATATAAAATGTGCAGTGTATGCGAAAATCTAAGTGCACATAAAAATCACTTTGGATTTAATAAATAACTAGATACCTATTATATGATATAATCACCTTCATTTCAGCAATAATAGTAATCTTGTTGTTTTAATAAAAATGATGGAGAATTAAACTCGTCGGTGACGTTACTAAATAACCCTATTAATATATTATCAACCAGAGTGAACCATTTTGGTATGATATAATCAGAATTACTTTGTATTTTACTTACCTGGGAAATATTATTATTAACTTACCACGTCATGTAAGAACATATTTTCCCATACCCACTTACGCCGCTAATAATTCATCAAAATTGGTTCACCTTTGTACTGTATAACGGAACAATCACTTTTAAGTTTTTTCCATGACCCACCACGTAAAATTAATTTGTCTGGTTTAAATATCACTTATGGAAACCCCCTACAGGTGTAAAATATATAATATGTTTGTATATATAATATATTTATTTTAAAATAATACAATTATATATATATAGTTTATAAACAATTTAAAAATACATAAAGCTTGTAATAAGTGCTTGAAACTTGTCAAAAGTCATGTACCGGGCCAATTCTATACAATTGTATGACAATGTTTTTATCTGAGTAAATATTACACATTTTATTATAATAACGGCTTCTGTAGTTGTAATTTCAAATTGTATAATTTATTACATCCTATA